GCTAGGGTGCCAGCCACATACACAAGAGCTAGCAGGTTCGAATCCAGCCTGGGTCTGCCAAACAACAATGACAAATACAACCAACAAACAGCCAGGTGTTGTGGTGGGTGCCTGTAGTCCCAGCTATACTTGGGAAGCTGAGGCAAGAGAATCACTTAAGCCCAAGAGTTTGAGGTTGCTATGAGCTGTGACACCATGGCACTCTACCCAGGGTGACAGCTTGAGACGCCGTCTCAAAAAAAAAAACAAAAGCAAAAAGAAAGGCCACTTTTGGGAATGGTAGGTCCCCGTGGATAGGTATCCTTAGTTCCTCCCAGTGATGCAGCATGAATTAAAATCCAGGTCTGACTCCAGTGTGTTCCCTGAGTGACTTAGCTCCACTGCCTCGCCCTGACTCAAGTCAGTGTAGGGAGATTTCCTGTCTCCCAGGGCTACCCAGCTCTGCCCACAAGACACTAAAGTAGCAGGCAGGAGGAAGGAAAGAGAGAGTGGGGGTAGCTGCAGGCTGCCTGACAGCCCCTCCCAGCCTCCAGCTCCCTGCTCACGTGGGCCTCAAGTGTGGGTGGGATCTGAATGGGAGATCCCCACCACGATACTCCTTGTGTTGGTCACCAACCCTGCTCCATGGTACAGCTCCATCCAGACCAGTGCCTCCCTCTGCATCCTTGGTTCCCCAAGGCACAGTAGAGAGGCCACCATCACCACAGGAATATGTGGCGCCTGGGCCCAGCAAGGTGCCCTGAAGCAGAAAGGCCTTGAGGATGAGGGGACAGCCTGTGGAATAGTGGGGCCCTCAGTCACAGACAGGAGAAGACAAAGGTTTGGTGCTGTTGTTTCTGCAGACAGCATCACTGTCTTCTAGTGGGCTCCTGGGAGGAGCCAGACCAGGCTCTGTCTTCACAACCTTCTCTCCCTTATCTGTCAGATGCAAATAGGACTGCGCAGTCATCGAGTTAGATAAGGTAATGTCATATTCTCTGTGGTGATGGGTGGTTGCTATTAAGTCAGATGGGGCCAGTGTCCTCAGCCTTTCTGCCAGCCAGCCCAGCCTCACCCTCCGCTTAGCTACCATCCAGGACCTCTGTCTTCCAGCCCTTCCCGACTGCTTGTACCTCCTAACTATGGTGCTGTGCTTCCAGCCTTTACACACTGTTCCCTTTTTTGAACTTCTTTCTGCATCTTGTCTACAATTCAGTGCATCTTTTCTAGACAGCTTCTTTGAGCTCCCAGGCTGAGTTAGAGGCCTCTTCTGGTCCTCTTTTGCCACCAGTAAATCCCACTGTTGGCAGCCCTGTGCCAGGTGGCAGTCACTGCCTCTTTCTGCATCTGTGTGGGTTCTCCAGGGCAAGCCTAGGTCCTGAGAACCAAGCCCTGGGCCTGATGTAGAGCAGGAGATGAGCGGGTGAGCCACCTCGGCCTGAGTAACTTCTTTAGCTCTTTCATTTCCCTAGTTTTCTCAGTAGGTGTGTCTGATTTACTGCAGTGCTTATCCTGTCTCCCGAGCTTTTTCATTTGTATGATTATATATTTATTTTCTTCATTTTTACTACTTCCACTTGATGACAGAAATGATTGTATTTTTAATTTCCTGAAATCCTACTTAATTATTTTTCTTTCTTTTTTTTTTTTCTTTTGTAGAGACAGAGTCTTATTTTGTCACCCTCGGTAGAGTGCCGTGATGTCACACAGCTCACAGCAACCTCCAACTCCTGGGTTTAGGCAATTCTCTTGCCTCAGCTTCCCGAGTAGCTGGGACTATAGGTGCCTACCACAACACCTGGCTATTTTTTGTTGCAATTTGTCTGGGTCTGGGGTTGAACCCGCCACCCTCAGTATATGGGGCCCTACTCACTGAGCCACACGCACCAACCATACTTAATTATTTTTCTTCTTTCTTTCTTTTTTTTTTATTTTTAATTTTTTATTTTTTAGAGCCTCAAGCTGTCCCCCTGGGTAGAGTGCCATGGCATCACAGCTCACAGCAACCTTCAACTCCTGGCCTCAAGCAAGTCTCCTGCCTCTGCCTCCCAAGTAGCTGGGACTACAGGCACCAGCCACAACCTCCAGCTTTTTTTTTTTTGGTTGCAGCCATCATTGTTGTTTGGTGGGCCTGGGCTGGATTCGAATCCGCCACCTTAGGTGTATGTGGCTGGCGCCTTAGCCACTTGAGCCACAGGCACCGAGCCTTCTTTCTTTCTTTCTTTCTTTCTTTTTTTTTTGAGACAGAGTCTCACTTTGTTGTCCTTGGTAAAGTGCCATGGTATCATAGCTCACAGTAACCTCAAACTCTTGGGCTTAAGCGATTCTCTTGCCTCCACCTCCCAAGTAGCTGGGACTATAGGCACCTGCCACAACACCCGGCTATTTTTTGGTTTTAGTTGTCATTGTTGTTTGGCGGGCTCGGGCTGGATTTGAATGTGCCAGCTCTGGTGTATGTGGCTGGCGCCTTAGCCGCTTGAGACACAGGTGCCAAGCCCATTTTGAACTCTTGAAGAAATTAATTCTGCTATTTCCTATTTCTGGTGCCTCTGCTTACTGTAGCTTGTTTACTAGTTTGTAATTTTATCATTTTCTTACCTTGCCCCTCTCTTCATGAGGCCAGGACAGCCTCTGTCTTCTTTTGTGCCCAGGGGCATAGCCTAGTTGACAGGCATTCAATCCATTCATCTCTGTGGTGTGAATTAACAAAAAGGCAGTGAGCACCTACTGCCCTAATACTGTGTTTAACCGGTATTCTCTTCAAGAGCCCTCAGTATGCTCTATGAAATGGGATTATTATCTCCACTGCAGGTGAGAAACTGAAGCCCAGCAGAGAGGTGACTTAGCTAAGGTCACATGCCCAAGCATGAGTTATAACCCAAGTATCTGCTTGAGTCAGTGCCCATCAGCTTAGCCCCACGGAGCCAAGTTCATCGCCATGGCTTATGTCAACTTCTGAACAATTTCAGAGCCAAGGGCCTGCCTCCCACTTCTGCACACACACCTCTATCCCCAGCCCTCCACTCTCCACCAAGGAAGAGTTTCTTCCTTTTGGTCTGCCTGGAAAGGAAGATACACAAGCATGCATATTCCCTTTCCCCAACTGGACTGTCTGAGCCCAGGAGTTTAAGACCAGCCTGGGCAATAGTAAGATCTCTACAAAACATTTTAAAAAATTAGTCAAGAATAGGGGAATTCATCTGTAGTCCCCGCTACTTGGGAGGCTGAGGGGAGGATCGTTTGAACCCAGGAGTTTGAGGTTGCAATGAGCTATAATGGTGCCATTGCATTCTAACTGGGGCAACAGAATGAGACTGTCTCAAATAATAATAAATAGATATTGGCTCAGCACCCATAGCTTAGGGGTTAGGGTGCCAGCCACATACACTGGGGCTGGAAGGTTTGAACCCAGCCCGGGCCTCCTAAACAACAATAACAACTGCAACAAAAAAATAGCCAAGTGTTGTGGTGGGCACCTGTAGTCCCAGCTACTTAGGAGGCAAGAGAATCACTTAAGCCCAAGAGTTTGAGGTTGCTGCGAGCTGTGACACCATGGCACTCTACCGAGGGCAACATAATGAGACTCTGTCTCTATAAATAAATAAATAAATAAATTGTTCAAGATCTAACAGTGAATCAATGAGATGACAAATAAGTGAGTAAAAAGACAGAAAACAGAGAAGGTCTACCAGAGAAGAGAGGAGTAGGAGATGATGGATGTGAAAGGTAGAATTTTCCAACAGATTTAGGTAAAAGTGATAGTGGCCTGGACCACAGGGCACTGGGCACAGAAGGGTGGTTATTAAGAGATGTTGGGCAATGGAATGGATGGGGTTAGTGATGCAGTGGACGATGGAGGCCAGGAAGAGGGATTTGGCAAGGGTGGCTGTCAGTTTACCGGCTTAAGGAACTGGGTGCAAGGTAGTTGCTCATGAAAAAATTGGGGGAAGAACAGATTTGAGAGAATGAACAAGAGTTCAGTTTGGAACAAGACACGTTTCAGTTTGCTTGGAAAGATCTGCTAACATATCACAGAAGAAGGAACATTAACACTGGGCCTCGAGGTCTATCTTACCTGTCGGGAAACAGAATTTCCCTTCAGTGAGATCACTGAGCTCCTTTCTGGAAGTTTCTTTCACTCAAAAGAGGCCCCGTGAGAAGAGGCATTGTTGAGATCATTATATAGGGGGTGTCTCATTTTCATCTCATTTTTCAGATGGGAAAGCTGAGACCTAGACCTGGGTTTTCTTTCCCAGCCTTAGCCTTTTCATTCATTCATTCATTCATTCATTCACTTGGCAGTTATTTATTAAAAGCCAGCTTTGTGCTGGGCTCAGTGGCTCATGCTAGTGGCTCAGTACTTTGGGAGATGTGGTGGGAGGATCTTTGAGCCCAAGATTTTGAGATTAGCCTGGACAGTATAGGGAGACCCTGTTTCTATAAAAAATTAGCCAAGTGTGGTGGTGTATGCCTGTGGTCCCAACTACTTGGGAAGCTGAGGCAGGAGGATAGCTTGAGCCCAGGAGTTAGAAGATGCAGTGAACTATGGTGATGTCACTGTATCCCAGCTGGGGTAACAGAGTGAGACCTCCATCTCTTAAAACGAGACCAAAAAAAAAAAAAAAAACAAAAAAAAACTTACTTTGTACCAGATGCCAAGTTCTGAGGATATACTACTAAATAAATAAAACCAAGAGTCTTGCCTTCTAGAACCTTAAACACAAAAATAAGTTTAAAAAAAATTATATATATATATGTCAGAGGGTGACAAAAGCTGTGTAAAGAAACTTAAGGACTGGAAAGGGGTCCAGTATAGTGGCGGTGCCCTTAGAAGGTGAGTTTGAAAGGCTCTGGGCTGCGTTTATGGGGCTGCTCCCCCTACCCCACCCCCACAGCACAGCCCATTGTGACAGTGTCTGGGGTTCTAGACTACAGGCCTGGGAGACAGGAGGAGGCCAGGAGAAGGAGGAGGGAGAGAGAGACTGAAAGGGGATTAGTGAGTGGGCTGCACCCCCCAAGGGGGGCAGCAAAGGCCAATGGGTCAGAAGGGCCATAAAGACTCCCTTTGTCCTCGTGGAAGGTAAGATAAATTTATTCCGTAGGCCCATGTGCTCGGGCCTCCCCCACCCTCAGTCAGATCTCAGATGGCACCCCCTCCTGCTCTTCCTCCCACCCTTGAGAAAACCTGAGGTGGGTCCAGATTATCCCTGTGTCCCAGTACAGAGTGGGCAGCCTGGGAGAGCTTGTTACAACATCCAAGGTGGACCATGGAGGTTGAGCGGGTCCTGTGAGGCTCTGTACTGGAAAGGAGGGGCTGAAGCACCCCAGGGTCACTCCCTGTGTCTTTACCCCCAGGACTCCTGTGAGCACCCTCCACGAGGCCCTGGACCAGTGCATGATCGCCCTGGACCTCTTCCTCACCAACCAGTTCTCAGAAGCACTCAGCTACCTCAAGCCCAGGTGAGGCATAAGCCCCGGATTGGGCGGGGGCATGTGGGGTCAGGCAGAACCTGAAGTCTCACAGGAGAGAAGCCCCATGTAACTGAATTCCTTCAGCCTTCTGGGTCACCATGACCCCCGAGGAGTCCTATAAAAATGACTCTAGCTCCCCTTCCCACAGCTCTCTCCAAGGTCACTGTGACTTCCTCTCCTTAGATTCTGGAAAACTCTTCGCACTTTAATTTCCTGTTCCTGAGGTTTCTCCCTATCAGCTATATCACAGACTGTTTCTCCCCAAAGCATAGAGACTTGGTTGCCTACCTTACTGAACATTTTAGGGCAACAGTGCAGGCTACTCACTTAGTCTTTCCTTCTAGTGATTACTGCCTTGTTTCTATAAACATAAATAAATACTATGCTTATGCTCCTTTTTCTTATCATTTTTTCAGTTTTAAAAATTGAAACATAATTCATGTATCATAAAAATGTCCTTTTTTTACTTATGACTTTTTTTTTTTTGCTGCATGAGTTGTCATATAACTCTTTTTTTTTTTATTAGATCATAATTGTGTACATTAATTCTCTCATAGGATACAGTGTGTTACTTCTATATGCAGTTTGGAAAACTCTCATCCAGGTGGCCAACATAGCCATCATGTCTTTCTCATAATTGTTATGCTAAGACATTTATATTCAACCTTTAGACAAATTCACCTGTACCCAAATAGAATAAACTATAGGCATGATCCCCACAATATCATTCTCTTCACCCATCCTCCCCCTCCCCTCCCCCCTCTTCTTTCCCCGTAGTCTAGGGCTCCATTTGGATTGTAGCTTTCCTAAGATAGCTAACAATTAGTTTCATAATAGTGTTGAGTACATTGGATACTTTTTCTTCCATTCTTGAGACACTTTGCTAAGGAGGACATTTTCCAGCTCCATCCATGTAAATATGAAGGAGGCAAAGTCTCCATCTTTCTTTGTGGCTGTATAGTATTCCATGGTGTACATATACCACAATTTATTGATCCATTCATGGGTCGATGGGCACTTGGGCTTCTTCCATGACCTAGTGATTGTGAATTGGGCTGCAATGAACATTCTGGTACAGATATCTGTATTATAGTGTGATTTATGGTCTTCTTGGTATATACCTAACAGAGGAATTACAGGATCAAATGGTAGATCTATATTTAGATCTACTTATAACTTTTTTTTTAACCTTCATCTTCAATGTAACGGTGTTACCACTTTTAAACACTATCTTTTGGTAGACAAGAATTTAACTTTCTTAGGCCTCTGTCCCACCTTCCTCCCCACATACCCCACTTGTCATTATATCACCATATTTGGGTAAATTGATAATCAGTGTTTGTATTGTTACAACTTTGTAATGAATGCTTATTGCAGAGATGAAGTATGTATTAGATTGTTTTCTTTCTGAAGCTAATAATTGTCTTGGTTTCCCATTTGTCTAATTTGCTATACATTTAGCCTTACCTTTTTATAACTGATTATCCTATCATGAGTTTTCCCCCAAATGCTCAAACATATCAAGTAAGCTGTCAGTCCCTCCTGTTCCTGAAAACCTTGTCTTTTGGCCACTCTGGCTGGCTGCTGGAACCCCCTTGCTTCTCTCTCATTTCCCTTTTTTTTAGAAAGAGTCTTACTCTGTTGTCCTGGATAGATGGTGTCATCATAGCTCAGAGCAACCTCTACCTCTTGGGCTCAAGAGATCCTCTTGCCTCAGCCTCCTCAGTATCTCTGCTTTCCTTGATCCTGGGTCTTTCTCTCTTGTCTCCTCCCTGATTTTACCTGAGCATGTCCTCTAGAAATTTGTTAAGAAGGAGGTGCATGAAAATAAACTTTCCCCCCAGAATTTTGAAGGCATTGCTTCCAGTTTTCTAGCACCTACTGTAGCTGTGAGAACCCTAATTCTTCTTACTTTGTGTATGACCTTTTTTCTTTTCCAGAAATGCTTAATATCTTCTCTTTTCTTCTCAAAAATCTTGGCTTTTACAGTGATGTGTTGGAATAAAGGTCTTTTTTATTCCTTATTTTTATTTGGAGACTCACAGTTCTAGAAAGTTCTCTTACATAATCCCTGCATCTTCTGTTTCCCTTTCCTGGGCTTCAGCCACATATTACACTTCCTGGATCAGTGTTCTTCTAAGCCTCTATTTTCCCTCTGCCCTGTCCTTTTTCATTTCTTTATCTTTTTTCCTCTGATTTTTTGGGAGATTTTCTTTTCTTTTCTTTTTTTTTTTTTTTGAGACAAAGCCTCAAGCTATCCCCCTGGGTAGAGTGCCATGGCATCACAGCTCACAGCAACCTCCAACTCCTGGGCTCAAACGAGTCTCCTGCCTCAGCCTCCCAAGTAGCTGGGACCACAGGCACCCACCACAATGCTCAGCTATTTTTTGGTTGCAGCCATCATTGTTATTTGGTGGGCCTGGGCTTGATTCGAACCCACCACCTTAGGTGTATGTGGCTGGTGCCTTAGCCACTTGAGCCACAGGCACCGAGCCTTTTGGGAGATTTTCTCAGCCTTATTGAATCCTTCTATTGACTTTTCCTTTTTTTTTTTTTTTTTTAATTTTTTGTAATAGTCTCACTGTATCACCCTTGGTAGAATGCTGTGGCGTCACCGCTCACAGCAACCTCAAACTCTTGGACTCAAGTGATTCTCTTGCCTCAGCCTCCCAAGTAGCTTGGACTACAGGTGCCTGCCACAACACCTGTTGTTGTTTTAGCTGGCCTAGGCCACATTTGAACCCACGTTTGAGCCCTGGTGTACATGGCCAGCGCCCCACCCACTGAGCTACGGATCCTGCCCATCACCCGGCTATTTTTAGAGATGAGGTCTCGCTATAGCTCAGGCTGGTCTCGAACTCGTGAGCTCAGGCAATCCACCCACCTTGGCCTCCCAGAGTGCTAGGACTATAGGTGTGAGCTGGCCACTATTGACTTTTCTTTATTTCTATAATCATATGATTTTTTTCCTGATACTTTTTATTCTCTGAATGTTCTTTTTTACCTGTAACATCTCATTCTTAATTTATGCAATATCTTCTTTATATCTGTATTTGCCCCTGGGATATAGTAAGTACTATGTTTCCCCTCAAATAAGACACTGTCTTATATTTATTTTTTCTCAAGAAGACACACTAGGGCTTATTTTCAGGGGATGCCTTATTTTTATTAAGTATAATACAACAGTCTACATTTATTCAAATACAGTTAAGTCATTCTCTTCTGGAACCTGACGGGGGAGCTGACCTTGTTGGTGGGGCTGGCAGTGCTAGTGATGAGTGAACTCCTTTCCCCTAGCCATTTGCACATGCACAATAGGATGCCTGCAACCTCCTTATCACAGGCACACCCTCGCAAGTGTGAACAGCTCAAAGAAAGGGGCTGTGGCAGATAAAAGGTATTCCAGTCTTCCTTACGCTCTGCCCTGAAATGCAGGACTTGGCTATGCAGATACACAGATATGCATCACTAGGTCTTATTATTGAGGTAGGGCTTATATTTAACAAATGCATAGAAATCCTGCTAGGGCTTATTTTTGGTGTAGGTCTTATTTTCGGGGAAACACGGTACTTTAATATTTATTTTATTATTATTATCACAGAATATTGTCTTCTTTTTAAAATATCTTATTTGTTTCCTGCATAACTTGGCTTTATCCATATTCCTGAATTCTGTTTACTGGTGGGAATCCTGTTTTTGTGTGGTGCTTCCCTCAAATACCCAATGATCTATGGCTATCGGTCTGGTCACATTTAAAAACAAGTTCACTCAAAGACCAACAGGAAAGTCTGTGCTAAGCCACCTTGCAAATGGTAGGATTGGCTCTGGTGCAGAGCTGGTCCCCAGATGTTAGCATCTGGGGTGGTTCAGCTTCTTCAGAGAGGAATCCTCCTTTTCTTGGCCTGGACAGAGAGATCATAGCAGCCTGAATTGAGACTGGGGGAGGAAGGAGGGTCAGGGTCTAGTCACACCTGCTGCCTCCTAACCCCCTTCTTTTCAGCTCCCAGTTGTCCTCTGCACTGCAGGACCTGGTTTCTCAAGCCCCCAGGAATAGCTAATGGTGAGGCAAGAGGACGGGTTTACACAAGTCTCCACGCCTGACCAATTCCGTTCTTTCTTTCTTTTTTATTTTGTCCCTCCCCCCTTTTTTTGAAACAGAGTCTCACTGTGTCGCCCTGGGTAGAGTGCTGTAATCACAGCTCACAGCAACCTCAAACTCTTGGGCTTAAGCGATTCTCTTGTCTCAGCCTCCCACATAGCTGGGACTACAGGCGCCTGCCATAACGCCCAGCTATTTTTTGGTTGTAGTTATCATTGTTGTTTGGCAGGCCTGGGCTAGGTTTGAACCCGCCAGCTCCAATGTAATGGCTCGCACCCCAGCTGCTGAGCTACAGGCACCAAGCCCTTTCTTTTTTTTGTGAGAGAGTCTCACTCTGTTGCCCAAGGCTAGAGTGCCATGGGATCATAAGAATGGGCCCAAGCCATTCTCTTGCGTTAGCCTCCCTGAGTAGCTAGGACTTCAGGTGCCCACCACAATGCCCAGCTAATTTTTTTTTTTTTTTTAGAGACAGAGTCTCACTTTATTGCCCTCGGTAGAGTGCTGTGGTGTCACAGGTCATAGCAACCTCCAGCTCTTGGGCTTAGGTGATTCTCTTGCCTCAGCCTCCCGAGTAGCTGGGACTACAGGTGCCTGCCACAATGCCCAGCTATTTTTTTGTTGCAGTTTGGCCAGGGCTGGACCCGAACCTGCCACCCTTGGTATATGGGGCCAGCGCCCTACTCACTGAGCCACAGGGACCGCCCAACCGGCTAATGTTTTTTTATTTTTAGTAGAGATGGGGGTCTCACTCTTGCTCAGACTGGCCTTGAACTCCTAAGTTCAAGAGATCCACCTGCCTTGGCCTCCCAGAGTACTAGGATTACAGGCGTGAGCCATTACACCCAGCCCTAGTTCAGTTTCTTGACGACCCCATTGATGGTTCTCCTGCTGGGCTCAGTGGCCCAGCTTCTGGGGTGGCATGGGAGGGGTTCTAGGATGTGCTCATCATGATGAGTCCCTTTGGTCTGTCTCCACACGTCACTCCCACCCTCTGGGGGAGCTGGGCTTGAGGTGGTGCAGGCCATGCCACATCCTGCTTCAGCACTAAAAGTCCAGATTCCTCTCCTGGTATTTGTGGAAGGCGCTCCAGCTCCTGTTTCCTTCCTGGTCATTTTCTGTCCTTCACTGGGCCCAGAACCCCAGACCACGGCCACCCTCCTGTGCTGGAAACAGGCTGTCCCCTGCCACAGCTGTGCAGCCCTCCTGTGTACCCCAAGCATAGACACTGGCCCTTTTCCTCCTCCTGAAGCCCAGTTAAGACCAGGCAACAACTTGGTCTCCTCTAAATTGCCCTGCAGACCTGGGGCCACCACAAGAGTCTGAACACAGAAGAAAGTATTAAGCTGCATCCAGCTCCTCAAGCTGTCCTCACCAATATCCCTAAGAGGGCTGTTCCCTCTGTAGCTCCCTTGCCCCGTCCCCCACCCCCAATTTGTTTTCCATGCGTCCCTTCTTTGGGTAGTGTTGTCTCTGTTCCCACTTTATTTTACTTATACTGTGTCTGTCCCTAAGCACTGTCTCTGGAACATGGAGGCTGCTCTATTTTTCTTGATGAATTAATGATCGTGATTAATAAGTAGCCAAGCTATAGGATTCAAACCCAGCCCCACTGGACTATACAAGCCACACTCTTTCTGCTGTGCTATCTTATGTCTCAAGCAGGGTAGAGGCATTTACCTTGGGCCCTTGGGTGGGGAGCTAAACACCTGCCTCCTCCATTACTAGGAGTGAAGGCAGCAGAAACGGTGTGCATAGGGGTTTGTGTGTGCTGGGGTTGGGGTGGGGGGAGTTCAGGGTGTGTTCCTGCCACATCCTGGCATTTGTCTAAGGGAAGATGCAAGGGGTCACCTGCTGAGAGTGAGGGCCCAAGCAGGGAGGGAAGGGGGATGATGAGGAGGGGAAAGGGTGCTTCTGGACAGTATATCGGGCCAGCCAAGGCTGAGGGCCCCCGGCTCCGAGTGTGCCAGTCTGTGAGCTCAGTGGTTTTCTCCAGTGTTGCTCAATGGCAGCATGGAGAAGGGTGGTTGTGTGGCTCCTGGACTTGGGCCCTTACTGGGCAGGGCAGAAGGTTAGGAGGCTTAGTATTTTGCCAAGTAAGGGGCTGGATGAGGAAGCTAAGTTGAGAAGTCAGGAAGAGGGGACAGGCTAGCAGTGGGAGGAGCGGGCAGCAGGAGTGGTGACCACGAGCAGGAAGGTAGGCAGTGGGGCCCGAAGGTAGCTGGCATCCTTTAAGACTCTGGAAGCAGAGCCATCTGTGTGATGAGGGTGAAGCTGAAGCGTGATCCAGGGAATGGAGTGATTGGGCAACTGTCATCAGTTCACTCAGCAATACATGGCCTGGCAGGGTGCTGGGAACTGGGCCTACAGCACTGAGCAAGGTGTGGGCTGTTCTCAGGATCTAGTCTCAGAGAGGCTCCCAGAATACTAGGGAGCTGCATAGGAACCCCTAACTCCTGGGGAAGAGGCTGGTCAGGAAAGCCACATTGCAAAATGAGGGATCATTTGTTCAAATATTATTGAACATTTTAAGGCAGTAATTGCAGAGAATTAAACCAAGCATGGGGCCCTTTTAGGTACAGGGCCCTGTGCAGCTGTGCTGATCATACACCCATGAAGCTGGCCCTGGAAGGCTTCCTGGAAGAAGTAATAGTTGCGAGATTGTCTGGAGGGGGAGTCAGTCAGGACTGACTGGCTGTTTCTAGGCAAGGGGAGCAGCCTAGGCAGAGGCCTGGCAGTGAGTGAGGTCTGGTGTCTCTGAGAAATGGAGATATTCAGCCTGCCTGAGTGGGGAAGCAGAGGCAGGTCCCAAAAGGAAGAGGGAAGGACACTGGAGATAGACTGGGAATGTGGAGTCCCCAGCAGCTGGGGCTGGAGAGCAGGGCAGTGAGGGGGGTCTGAGAGGACCAGATAGACTGGGAATGTGGAGTCCCCAGCAGCTGGGGCTGGAGAGCGGGGCAGTCAGGGGGGTTCTGAGAGGACCAGATAGACTGGGAATATGGAGTCCCCAGCAGCTGGGGCTGGAGCGCGGGGCAGTGAGGGGAGGTCTGAGAGGACCAGCAGAGCAGGGGAGCTTCATTGAAGATGAAGGAGCAGAGACTTGCAGAGGCCAAGGGGCAGCCTCTGCCTTCCAGCCTGAGAGGACCCTGAAAGGGCCTATGGGAGGGAGGCTGGGACTAGGGTTGGGCTGGGGCCCAGGAAGGAGCAGCAGGGTCTGGTCAGGCTCAGGGAGCTCAGATGGTGGGAACGAGGGCAGGACAGGATGGCTGATGAGGCCTGAACCTTGGGTGCCAGCTGAGGAAGGACAGGCTAGAGGCTACTGTGCTTAGCTGCCCTCCAGGTGGCCATGGAGTCTCCACTCCAACACCCTGCTCTGTTGATGGCTTCTCCAGTACCTTCCCCATCTTGATAGCTGGGCTGGGCCCAGAAGGTGGGACCCAGGGGCTTCATGTCCCAGAGTGGGGTTCAGCCCAGGAGTAAGGAGACTATTACTCCCAGGGGTCTGGATGCCATATAAGCAAACAAGACCTTCTGGGGTACAAACTAGATTTGCGCGTCTGAGGCTTGGGGGTTTTCCTATCTCTATACCCCATTTCCCAGTCCAGACCAGAGTTAGGGGGCTTCCAGGTGGTGGCTGGGGCAGGGTGGGGGGCATCTAGGATTCCTAGTCAAGGTGCCTGTTGTGGCCTTGGGTCTCAGACTAGAAATTCCACTTTGTCTTCCAGCTGCCTGGGTGAGGCTGTCCTCTTCCTGGGCCCAGACTAGATTCAGCAGGTAGGGCCGGGCAGATGGAGCTGAGTTCCCACAGGGGCAGAGGAAAGAGAGGCAAGGGCTTAAGAGTTGGAGAGGTCTGTGTGCTATCAGGAAGGCCCTTCCTCAAGGAGAAGATTTTATGCAGCGAAGTGACCCTTGACCCTGGCAAGACATGGGAGAGAAGGGTTATTGTATTTATTCTACAGTGAGAATTCTGAGGCTGTGAGAAGACCAGGGTCACATAGCTGGTAACTGGCAAAGCCAAGGTTCCAGCCTGGGTCTGAGGGACTCTGAAGCCTGCTCTAGCTTCCTTCCCACAAGTCACTGCCCTCAGATTAAGTGGTCCTAGCAAAGGCCTGGCAGGGATCCTGATGGTGGCCAGGGACAGTGAGGGGTGGACCAGACTTTGTTTTCTACCTGAAGGTCACCCAGAAATAAAAAGAGCAACTTAATTCACAGGTGTTTTATACACAAGAAAGTGAGGAAAATGGGCAAGGTCACATGATCTTACAATAAAACAGTCTATTGACCTTAGTCATCTCTGTCCTCTGAAGTTCCCAGCACACACCTGGCACTGAAGAGCTTCAGAAATAATTAACGAGGGGCTGTGGGGGGAGTGAAAAGTGTTGGCACCTCCTGTCTAGGCAGGGGCTCCCCCAGTCACTCTCACTGGCCTGCCAGGACCCGGGCAAGCCAGCACTATCATCTCCATTTTGCAGAAGCAGAAACCAAGGCTCGGGCATGTCAAGTGACTCCCCCAAGTGCAGAGGGGGACTGGCATGGCTACTGTCCCTCCACGCCTCTTTCACTCTCCATGTATTGGGGCAAACTCCCCCCCACCCCGGGCACAGCTTGAAGCTGAGAAGCCTGGGACTGTGGCAGAGCTGGGAGCTGGGAGCTGGGAGGCAAAGGCTTCCTGAAACCACCTTGGTTGGCCCTGACACACAGGTGCTGAGGACAGAGATGCATTACACACAACTCTGTCCTCGAGGCGCCCACAGTCTGGGGAGAGAGCTGAGCCTGTGTTGCCATCAGTTCAGTGTGGTGGGGCCTCCATTTACAGGTACACCATCCCTGGGGTAGCCCTGGGTTCCCAGTGGCCTTGAAGGCATCTGAAGGCCCTGATGGATGAATTGGGGTGGGGACTGAGACCTGGAGGAGGTAAGAGTGAGGTTTTCTTGTGGAAAGTCTGTGTGGTTCAGTGGGCAGGGGTGCAGTCTTGACTGTGACCAGGTGGAAGGTGAGGGAGAAAAACTACAAGAGGGCTGGAGAGGTAGGCAGGGCTGGCATTGTGTGGCCTTAGCCCAGGCGATGTCTCATGGGATGTGGAAGCCGCAGGAGGGTTCAACCAGAGGGCACAGTGATCAGGTGATGGAAAGGAGGGAGAGGCAGCAGATGGCCAGAAGGGAGGTCTAGGGAGTGGGCACAGGGGGTGCCCAGGGGATCAGCAGGATCTCACAGGTAGGGCTTGAGTTGTGTCTGCTAGAAGCAGGGGAGGAAGGTGAGAGGCAGGCCCTGGTATTGGGAAGGGCAGCTTCAGGCCCACAGGGTGCCAGGCCCTTTTTCAGTCCTCTTGACAGCTGTGTGGCTGTCACCCCTACCGAGCTGATAGGGGCTGAGGCTCAGCTCTGGAAGATCACTGAGAGCCACTCAGCAGGAAGAAGGGGAGCTGGGAATAGGATCTGAGGTCTTCTAAATAGCAGTGAAAGGATCAGACCTGGGCAAGGCCTTTCCCCTCCTGGGACCTCTATGCAAATGGAGAAGCAGTGACAGGATCTACCCAGGGCCACCTACCTCTGGCGTTCCAGGAGTTAATGCTCTCAATGTCCCTTTTGTCCGGCAGAACCAAGGAAAGCATGTACCACTCGCTGACGTATGCCACCATCCTGGAGATGCAAGCCATGATGACCTTTGACCCTCAGGACATCCTACTTGCTGGCAACATGATGAAGGAGGCACAGTTGCTGTGTCAGAGGTTGGGGACAAGGGGATGGGAGGGGCAAGAATTAGAGGTTGTGAGGCTCCCCTTCTGTCACCCTGGCCCATCCTAGTGCCTAAATGCCTGCCACTATTTGTGCTGCTTCTTGTGACTACAATGTTGTGTCCCCAAGTACTAACAGCTGTCCCTGTCAGCCCTGCCTGAGGAGACTTGTGTGAGCCAGTCACAGAGCAGCTTCTAGGGACCAGTCTTGATTGGGAGAAAACGAATTCTGTCTTTTTCACTTAATGGCTCGTTGACCTTTGCCAAGTCCCTCTCTGGACTCATCTTTCATTCTCTGAAAATCAGTGTGATGAATCCCCATGGGGACTTCATGCAGACACCAGTCACAGGACCGGGTGCATAACTGGTGTTCAGTACGCATTTGCTGCTTGAATGAATGAACTAATAGACCCCGAGTGTTCGTGCACTGGTGGAGTCATCATTCCCTGGGCACACACGCTTCTGCTGGGCCACGCATGCCCTCTGCTGGGCACTGATGACCCAGGACATCATCAGACCTGGGCCAGCCTGATGCCCACACCACCTGATCAGAGAGGCAGGCACAGTGACATCCAGCATGGTGCGGGGAAGCTCAAGGTGTTGTGGGGGTCCCGCCACAGGTGCTGGAAAGTCTTCCTGGGAAAGATGATGCCTGAGCCAGGGCCTGAGGGGTGCCAAGGATCTGGCCTGCAGAGGCAATAGCAGGGGCAAAAATGTTAGAAAGGCTGTGCCTTGGGGGAGCTGCTGGGAGTGCCTTGTCTGGAGAATCCAGTGGGAGGAGCCTGCAGGCCTTAGAGGCCACACCTACAGCCCAGGCTGTGTCCCCAGGGCAGTGCAGAGGTGTTAAGTGTTCTCAGCCCAGCAGAACCTTCTGAGAAAACTCCCTGGCACACAGGTGGAAGTGAGCAGGCCCAAGACTGGGTGGGCAGGGGTGGTAGGCCCTGGGTGGTAGGCCAGGCACAAAGAAACCTCCATTAGGGAGAAAAATCCAGAGCTGGAATGGGTTGGGAACTGCTGAGGGCAGCGTCAGCTAGACCGGGGGCAGGTTGGCCAGGGGACTGCTTTCTCTGCTCAACCCATGACTGATGTGGTGTTAGCTATCCCTGTTTTACCAGTGACAACACTGAGGCTCAGAAAAGTGACCATTTTGTCAGAATTTAAAACCTTGGGCCAGGCATGGTGGCTCACACCTGTAATCTTAGCACTCTGGGAGGCCAAGGCGGGTGGATCGTTTGAGTTCAGGAGTTCGAGACCAGTCTGAGCAAGAGTGAGACCCTGTCTCTAAAAATAGCTGGGCGTTGTGCTGGGAACCTACTTGGGAGGCTGAAGCAAGAGGATTGCTTGAGTGCAGGAGCTGGAGATTGCTGTGAGCTATGATGATACCACAGCACTCTACCCAGGGTGACAGAGTGAGATTCTGTCTCAAAAAAGAAAAAAATGTCAAAACTTCTCTGTCTGCCCCCAAACCCTGTGTTCTTTCTGCTGTGCTACCTCTCTAAGAATTTGTTCTAGAGTGTGGCAGAGAGGGGCAGAGTTAAGTGCGGCCCCTTTTCCCTCTCCAGGTACCGGAGGAAGTCTTCCATGACAGATTCCTTCAGCAGCCTGGTGCACCGCCCCACTCTGGGCCAGTTCACGGAAGGTGTGGCATCTGGATGTCCTCTCAAGCATGCTCAGCCCAGGTGGCCCAGCTCTAGGAGAGGCAGGAAGGGGAGTTACCCTCCCATTTTTCAGCAAGGGGGCTGGAACCTGGCTCTCTAGTGAGGGTGTGGGTACAAGTGAGAACCATTTCCCTAAAAGTACAACTGTCATCTGAGAGCCTGCAAGTCAAAGAAAGGAAAAGCTGTCCTAAGGTCCCTGGGCTTTGCTCCTCAGGACAAGGGAGGCTCAGAATCGTGTGTGCACCAAGTTTGCATGAGTTAAACAACCTCACGACCGCATGTGCACCGGAGGCAGATGTGGTCCTAGCAGCTGACATGCTGGCACAAGGCAGCTGACCGCAGCAGAAGCTGAGGCCTTGGCTGTCATAGCCTGTAGGATGTCTTTGTGCCACGACCACAGGCAGCAGACCTGGAGGCAGCAGTGGCCGAATACAAGCAATTAAGGGCTGTTCAGTGCAGATGCAAATGACCTTACTCACCTGGAGAGCCCTGGAAGGTTCCAGCACCACACAATGCATCTGATGGTGCTGGGTGCACAGCATCTACAGTGATGCTTGAGGAACAAAGATGAGGCTGGGCTGACCTTCTGGGTGGTGGGGTAGGGACCAGAAGATGAAGAGAATGATGCAGGCTGACAGGATGGTGGTGGGTGCTCTGAGAGTGCTTGACCAGGCTAATGGGGCTGAGGAGGAGGAAAGTGGTGCCACAAACTCCCTTTGCTTTTGGGAATGTAGGGTCAGGTGGATGTGGCCCAAGCCTCCTACTTAGAGTCCCAGGAGGCCATGGGGCTTTGGTTTTCTCCCCACAGAGGAAATCCACGCTGAGGTCTGCTATGCAGAGTGCTTGCTGCAGAGAGCAGCTCTGACCTTCCTGCAGGTAGGAGTTCCACCTCAAAGAAGCGGGTGGGGAACTTCGTGTTCATCTCCTTGTCCAGCTCAGACCCATCCCCTGTCATCCAGGCAAGGACAGAGGCTCAGTGACCCCCTAGCAGGCTCAGAGTGGAGGTGATGGGCCTCATCTGTCACACATCAAGCATTGCCATGGGTCCCTCATAGATTTGGGTGCAGGAAGGGGCAGTTGAGGCCCAGAGCCTTGTATGATCCATCTCAAGCCAACAGGGTTCTGCTTTTACCTCGTGACCACTGATGTGTTTCCTGCCAAGGGTCACACGCTGGTGACAGGCTTTGACACAAAGCCTACTTTACACTTGATTCATTGAGCAAATGCTGCAGCGTCTATTTGCCAGGCTTACTGATGATAATACAGGCGGGTAGTTTTCACACATCTTACACATGTTATAGTTTGCTTTTTCAAACATTTGCCTTTATTATTTAATCTTTACCTCAGAGGCCTGTGAAAGGGAGACTTAGGAGAGAGGAGTTACTTTCCCAAGGTCACATGATTAGCAAATGGTGAGCTGGGATTTGAACCTGCATCTGACCAGGTCAGAGCCCAGGTCTCATCACCACACAATGAGAATTTTGAGAACTGTCACTGTGTGATTTTACCAGAAAACCTGATTATAATAAGAACATGTCATCGCCTCAGTGCCCGTAGCACAGTGGTTACAGTGCCAGCCACATACACCTGGCCTGGGCCAGTTAAACAATAATGGCCACTGCAACAAAAAATAGCTGGGTGTTGTGGCAGGCACCCGTAGTCCCAGGTACTTGGGAGGCTGAGGCAAGAGAATCACTTAAGCCCAAGAGTTTGAAGTTGCTGTGAGCCGTGACGCCACATCACTCTACCGAGGGTGACAAAGTGAAACTGTCTCAAAAAGAAGAAGAAAGAACACGTCATCATCGTGTATATTTGTGTATTTGGGGGCAGAGAGACATCTACACTTTAGTGTTGGGGTGCTGTTTGGGGTTTTAGCTCTTTTTCTCCCCTTTTGGACCTCAGATGATTAGAATTGGATTAATCCTAATGCTTAGTTTAGGACTCGCTGTAATGATTACATCATGTGTTTTATTTTATTTTTTTGTAATATTTTTACAAATAATGAACACACACAATCCCTTCAGCTGGAGGACAGACCCTGGCTGGAGCTGTCCTCCCGCTGTGGGTCCCTCCTCACCCTTTCCCTGCACCCCCCAGGGGAACTACTACCAAGAGCTCTGTGTTTTATGGTTATCATCGCCCACCCTATTTTTTAAAAATAGTTTTATCAGCTTTGTATTCATGTCTGAGCAGCAAACTGTTGTTTTAGTTGGTTTGGGGCTTTCTAAACTACGTAGGACCCACTTCCCGCACCCAGCCTCACAGGGCTGTGTGTTCCATTTCCTGAATACACCTCTGTCTGTTCATCCCTTGTCCTGGGGCATTTGAGTTGTTTCTGGTTCCTGGCTGTTATGAACATCCTTGAAGGTGACTTCCACAGCCCGTGTCTCCCTGTTCCCCGGGTGTACACCAGGAGTGGAGCTGCCGGCCGGCTGTTGGTGTCGGCACTTTGAATGATAAATGTGATAAGCATCTGCTGTTGTAAAAACCATAATCCACAAATGAGCATCCCTCTCCTTTCCTGCAGTTCCACCACCTAGAGGGAGGCCCAGTAACCTTTCCAGGCCTCTCTCCAGGGACGTATATGTGTACATGTGAGGCTGGTGAAGGGACGTTCTGGTCCATCCCGGGACACTTGGGAGGTTTCGTTTGGCCAACTAGGGAAGCCTGGTTTGACTGACCTCTGATCCCATGCCCCCAGGGTCCCTCATAGATTTGGGTGCGGGAAGGGGCAGTTGAGGCCCAGAGCCTTGCGTGATCCATCTCAAGCCTACGGCCACCTACGCGGGCCAGGCCTCAGCATCTTTCCCTCCTGCAGGATGAGAACATGGTGAGCTTCATCAAGGGCGGCATCAAAGTTCGAAACAGCTACCAGACCTACAAGTGAGTGGGGCTGGGGCCCCAGCACCCACTCCCCTGCCCCCCTCAGGCTGCTCTGTGGAAGGAAAGAGGAGAGTAGTAACTGGAGGCTGCAAGCCTAGAATGCTATTTGGGCTCAGGCAAATTTCTGCACTCTCAGGACCTGTTTTCTAGAATAATATCCCCTCCGTTTTCTGGCTATCTCTATTCCTTTCGGTCCTCTGAGTGTCTACTTTGCCCCTGACCCTCTGCTAGGGGAAAATAAGACACAGATTCTGCACCAACATCTTGGTCTTGAGGTGACAGGGAGATAGCCACAGGATCATCATTTTTCAAATGCCACTATCCCCAGGAAGCCTTCCTTTCTTGACGCTTTAGTACATAGAGATGACGGACACACACACACACACACACACACACACACACACAAAAGCTTCTTGAGCCTAGGATTAGTTCCATGCTGTCTCAACTGGGCCAGGTACAACCATGTTTAAGTATGAAAGAAGGAAGAGGGCCAGCCGTGGTAGTTCACATCTGTAATTCTAGCACTTTGTGAGGCTAAGGGGGGGGGGAGATCATTTTGCGGTCAGGAGTTCAAGACGAGCCAGAGCAAGAGTGAGACCTCATCTCTACTAAAACAGAAAAACTAGCCAGGTATTATGATGGGTGCCTATAGTCCCAGCTACTTAGGAGGCTGAGGCAAGAGGATCACTTGAGTCCAGTAGTTTGAGGTTGCTGTGAGCTATGATGCTGTGGCACTCTACCCAGGGTAACAGTGAGACTCTGTCTCAAAAAAAAAAAAAAAGAAGAAGGAGGAGGAGGATCCAGTCCAGAGCACTGCCACTCAGTATGGCTCTGCAATGCCTTATCTATAGTTCCCAAATCAAAGAAACTCTTTTTTTTTTTTTGCAGTTTTTGGCCAGGGCTGGGTTTGAATCCGCCACCTCTGGCATATGGGGCTGTTGCCCTACTCCTTTGAGCCACAGGTGCCACCCCAAAGAAACTCTTAAAAGACCAATTCCTACCTCTGGGCCTTTGCAGAAAACACTTTCTGCACCAGGCCAGCCCCAGCTCCTCCCTCAGATTTTTGCTCATATGTCACTTCCTCAGGGAAGTCCCTGTAATCCCCAGAGTAGGTCAGGTCCCAGGATTCTCCTCCTCTGAGGCTCTCATTAGGACAGTGGGGGTCTGTCCCTGGAGTGGAAATGCCAAGAGGATAGCAGCTTGCTGGCTTTGCTCCCTGCTGCTCCCAGGGCCTGGCAGAGAGAAGCTTCAGTCTGTGCCTAGTGGTTTCCAATTGGGGGGCGATTCTGCCCACCATGAGACATTTGGCAATGTCAGGGGCATTTTGATTGTGCTGGAGAGAGGATGCTACTGGCATCTAGAGCAGCGGTTCTCAACCTGTGGGTTGCGACCCACAGGAACTATTAAAGGGCCACAGCATTAGGAAGGTTGAGAACCACTGATCTAGAGGGTGGAGGCCAGGGGTGCAGCTAACACCCTTCTCCCCCCCACCCCCAACAAAGAGTTAACTTAGCTAAAATGTCAGTAGTATCAGTGTTGAGAAAGCCTGTTATAGTCAGAATGCAGACCACGAACAAATGCCCAGAAGTTGGACAAGGCGGATGTGGCTGAAATTCAGGGGTAAGGAGTATGTTATTACAGTGGGAGATGGGGTTAGAAATTCCTTGAATATGAGCTCTTGGGATTACCACCACTATCAGAAAGCTCAGGGATAAGCATGAGTGGGAGTTAACAGCAGGCCCCACCGGAATGGTCTCTGGCCCCGGTCCCCCAGCAAGTAGCTGAAACAAGACTTGGTATCTCTCCACAGGGAGCTGGACAGCCTGGTCCAGTCTTCACATTACTGCAAGGGAGAGAACCACAGGCACTTTGAAGGAGGGGTGAAGCTCGGTGTGGGGGCCTTCAACCTGGTGAGTGGGAGTGCCCCTCCTCCATTTCCATAGTATCTGGCTCCAGATAAATCTCTGCATGTCCCTGCCCCAAATAGTCAAGGCTGAACAATGGTGCCTGGGTGGTTGCTGGGCACTGGGACCCAGAGATAAACCAGTGACCAGCCTTAAGGAGCTCACAGCCGGGCTGGGGGTGGGAGCTGGAGTCAGCTCCATGGAGTCCATCTGGATTCTTCATCTGCATTTCTTCTTGGATCAAGTTGGGAGCTGGAAACACCATAATGGGAGTCTTGAAAGCATCCTGGCCTGACAAACATAATAATAGATCAGGGCTTCTTCTACCCTGGAGAGCTCACTGTTAAACATTTAAGAGGCCTGAAAACAGCTGATAACTCACAGGAGAGAGACTAGTTTTCTTCCAGGAGGGGGGACTTTGGGGAAGGTTTCTCAGGGGTGTGGATAAGCATTTGAGCTGGATCCTTAGGATCCCTAGGAGTTTCCCAGGTGGGGAAGGGCATCTAGGCAGAGGGAACTGTGTGAGTGGAGACGGGCAGACTGGCAGAGCTGTGTGTGCTTGCGGAGGGGGGGCTTCTCAGGGAAGATTTGGACCTCTGGCCCTAGGTGACCAAGGACCTTTCCAAAGTAGGGGGGAAGAAGTAGTGGCTCTCTCCCCTTCAGGTAGAGCTTAAAGTGCAAACCTTGAGGCAATGGGGTAGGCCCTGCCCCGCTCTGGGGCACCCTTCTTCACGCTCATCTGCTTTTCCTACAGACACTGTCCATGCTTCCTACTAGGATCCTGCGGCTGTTGGAGTTTGTGGGGTTTTCAGGAAACAAGGTAACCACCTCTCTCTAGCACCCTCGACCTGCTGAGCTCCAGGCCTGGAGTTGGGCCCAGTGGGGCTGAGGGACTACAGGGTCTGGGTGCCAGTCCTGGCTCAGCCCCATCCACGTGTGGCCCTGGACAAAGCCCAGACCTCTCTGGGCCTCATCTTCTCTCCATTCCAAGGGGACCAGTAACACCTCCCTGGCCCCTCACAGGGTGGAGAGGCTCTGGGGATAAGGGTGGGTGTGAAGGATAGCTGTGTATAGTGGCCCATGGCCACATTCTCTGAGCTTGATAGGGGTGGGGAGCCTGGTCCTCCCCACCAAGACCTCCTCACTGCAAGGCCTTGAGCAAGTCCTTTCCTCCAGGATCATTTTCTGGTGCTAGCACCTCATCTGGGAGGTGCCTTGAAGGAAACCAGAGAACTCTAGCACTCAGATTTGACTGAGGGTTGAAGGCAGCAGATGCAGGAGTGCTGTCTGGTGGAGGAGGCCTAGGCAGTGGAAGGAGCATTGGCCGGGAAGTCAGGAGCCTTGGGCAGCCTCATCCCTTCCTTTCTGTGACTCTGAAACGAGGGGCTTTCCGCAGACGGTGTCCCCAGAAACGCACTTTTTCTAGCCCTCACTGATACTGACCACTCCCATGGGCCTCTGTATTATTATTTATATAAAAAAGTAACATGACATTTGCTGAAATTTACTTAGAGGAAACATCACTACATGAAAACCCACATTATTTGGCCTGATAAGAACATCATCATAAAAATCAACACTATGAAGCCGGCAGTCTTAGGAAAACCCTGCCAGGCAGAACTGCTGGCCCAGGTTCAGTCCCGGCTGCCACTTTATGGGAAAGGGACACACAGAGCACAGGACTGGGGCTTCCTCCTGGGCACCATCAGATGGCAGAAAGAGACCCCAGAAGGGGAAACCCTCACCTGTGACTCAGGGTTTTCTCATACCAGTCCACAGATCCCTACAATCTTGCTTGCCATCTGCGCAGCCCATTTATGCCCTGGGCCTGTGGTTAGGACTATCAGTCTCCTTGTCCCTCTTCCTCCCAACCAGACCAGGGCTGCTCAGCCATGGACGCCCACCCCAGGGTGGGCAAGCAGGTGTGTACAGGTAGGACTGGGATGCGGCTGTTGAGGAGGTAGGGGGCGCCCAAGGCCCGCCAGTCCTTTGCACTGTTCTTAGGAGCAGTGTCTTCCGCCTAGGAAGGCGGCTGAGGCTCTGAGAGGTGCACCTGTTGCTCAGGGCTACACAACTGACTGGGCCTCCAGGGCGCAGGGCTCTCCAGCCCTGGCATCTGCCCCTCTCTGGGAGCCTCAGCCTGTCTTCCTGTCCCCCCAGGACTACGGGCTGCTGCAGCTGGAGGAGGGCGCAGCAGGGCATAGCTTCCGTGCTGTGCTCTGTGTCATGCTGCTGCTGTGCTACCACACCTTCCTCACCTTTGTGCTCGGTAGGCTTCCCTGTGGGGTGAGCCCTGAGCCCCCAGAATTCGGTCATCTCCAGGGCCAAGAGGGAGAGGGGCCCCCTGGACTGGGGATAAAGGTCCTGAAACAGAAATAGCAGAGTCACATCAACCGGCCTGGGCCTGGCCTCCCCACTTCCTCACAGTGTGACTGGGTAACAGCCTCAGTTTTCTCATCTGTGAAATGGGCATAAATTAGAGGGTATGTGGACACTGTAGGCCTCTGGACACAGCCGCGGCAGACATACACTCCTGGTTACTGAGTTCTGTGACCCACTAGGGACACTACCTGCATTACTTTATTTAATCCTCACATCACCCTGTAGATAGAATTATTATCCCTATTGTACAGAGGGGGAGATAGAGGCTCCAGGAATCCCCTGGTAGGTTGCTGAGGCGGATTGCAGGAGCGAGTGGAGTGACATGTTGTACCCTCCCCTGCCCCCACCCTCACCATTACCAGGTACCGGTAATGTCAACATTGAGGAGGCAGAGAAGCTCCTAAAACCCTACCTGAACCGCTACCCTAAGGTGAGCCCCACCCTTCACCTGGTACCCCCAGCCCTTGAGCACCTTGTGGACCCACAGAGACTCACATGCATGTCATTGCAGGGCGCCATCTTCCTGTTCTTTGCCGGGAGGATTGAAGCCATTAAAGGCAATGTTGACACAGTGAGTGATGGGGGTCTAGGCTACCTCCGGGTCTCCCAGGCACACCCAGACATACTGAGGGACAGGGCAGATTGGAAGGAGAACAGGGCCCAAGAGAAAATCAGCAAGAGGGAGGGGTGGGAAAGGCACTTGGGAAGACAAGAGAGGAGGGGGCATTCGTGGTGAGTGGGCTGTTGACAGGGAGATAAAGGACTATGGCATTCCTGGAGAGGGAAGCAGAGAGGTGGGAAGAACTGTCCTGCAGGCATGGTGATTAGGCTGGAACCTGGTGAAGAGAGAGGGGTGTCAGGTGGGTGAGGGGAGCCCTCAAAAGGGTTAGAGATGGGGGTGGGTCATGGTCCCCAGAACTAAGCCAAGGCTCAGGACCAATTCTATAGCATGGAGTCCTCGGCTTTCCAGCTGGCCTAGCTGTGATTCCCCAGGTGGCAGGACAAATGCTCCAGGCCCAGGTAACCTCATGGAAACTGCTGGAACCTTTGGAGTTTGCTATAAGACAGACATTATTTTATCAATATAATATTAATACTTGCCACTGCTTCTTATCCCCTCCATTAGAGCTCTGTCCTTACCTCTCATTTTTTGATTGAAAAACTAGAGTTCCGGCTCGGCACCTATAGCTCAACCGGCTAAGGCGCCAGCCACGTACACCTAAGGTGGCGGGTTCGAATCCCCAGCCCA